AAAACAAACAAATTCTTTTTTCTTGATCAGAATAGATGTCACTCACAGCATGTATTCTGAGGATTTATTAATCTTGTGCAGCAATACGGCAGATAAGAAACACGTGTGACCATAGCAAATTAATACACAATCTTACTAATTTCAAAGTTGGTATGATGCAGGTATATATGTCTCTGGTATATGATAATGTCAAAATAAATGCTTTATCAATTGACAGTATTGAATTATTACAGCACAAAAAATTCAAGGAAATAGTAAATATTCGATCCTTTAGTTTTAATATATAAACATAACCTATATGCATGAATACGTTAATTTTATAACACGTATCACGAAAGACTTGAATTTATTGCAGTTTGAAGAAGAATGATAACAAAGTTTCAAAGTTGAACTACTTCTTGCGTTAAGCAACCATGCCGAAAGTATCTATTGACAAAGAATTTAGGTATAAAATGACATGTATCAATATAATTTATTATACGTGAATAATATTTATTTTGAATTATATTAAAGTAAAGCATCTAATTAGGATGACCATCCGAAGCTTTATCTGCTGAAACACTAAAACGTGTATGGATCCTATCATGCAATATAGGATGCGTTGTTTTATGGATGTTTTATAATTACAATTGGAGTTACTGTAAAGAAACCAGTGCTTGTTGGGCATTATTGTATCTTAAAAGGAGTAAGTGTCAAGATCTCGGTGTATGCGGTGCATTATTGTATCTTAAGATGAATGACTGTCAAGATCTCGGTGCTTGTGGTGCATTATTGTTTCTCAAGATGAGTGACTGTCAAGATCTCGATGCTTGTGGAATATTATATTGTTTCTCAAGATGAGTGACTGTCAAGATCTTGGTGCTTGTGGTGCATTATTGTTTCTCAAGATGAGTGACTGTCAAGATCTTGGTGCTTGTGGTGCATTATTGTTTCTCAAGATGAGTGACTGTCAAGATCTCGGTGCTTGTGGTGCATTATTGTATCTCAAGATGAGTGACTGTCAAGATCTCGGTGCTTGTGGTGCATTTTTGTATCTCAAGATGAGTGACTGTCAAGATCTCGGTGCTTGTTGGGCATTTTTGTATCTCAAGATGAGTGACTGTCAAGATCTCGGTGCTTGTGGTGCATTTTTGTATCTCAAGATGAGTGACTGTCAAGATCTCGGTGCTTGTTGGGCATATTGTATCTCAAGATGAGTGACTGTCAAGATCTCGGTTCTTGTGATGCTGTATTGTATCTCATGATGAGTGACTGTCAAGATAAAAAAGATTGAAAACCCATTAGCTTATTGTGAGACCTTTAAACTATGATTTAGGATTAAAATTAATTATAAAGCCATTGATTCCCGGAGGCCGAGTTAGGGTTGTTACCGGCCCCATTTGAGAGAACAAAATGGTTGATTATATAAGGAATCACTGAAGGAAGACTGAAGCAGCCCCCCCTAATGTAGTCAGTGGACCCCCTTATGAAATTTTCTGGATCCGCCACTGATTCCAGATTCTTGTTGGATTCTGCAGGATAAATTTCCTGTAATGCTACAATACAAATAATTGGACTTAAAGGATTTTCAACCAATTCATGAAAAAAGTAAAATCACAAAAATACTGAACTCCGAGGAAAATTCAAAACGGAAAGTCCCAAACGAAAGGTTTTGGAAGTACAAATTGTGTACGTGATTTTATTTTAAAGTTAAAAAGGGAGTTAACAATTTGAAATGCTGCACTTAAAAGTGTTTTTTTTTTTGGGTAGATGATGTCTTACCAATAAACCCGTCTCAAAAATACATGTCGGGTAAAAAGAATAAACATGCCTTTGGTGGTTCTAGCTTGTTTGAAATAATAAGGGGGTGAGTATTGATATATATACCATTGTTTTTCCACATTAAACATGTGTGAGATTTTGTCACAGTTTCTTTAAAATGTGCTCTAGCATCCTTGTCTTCTAAAATCTAGTATAGGTTTTTTTTTTAATAAAAATATTTATTTTTTACTATCTGAACTCAAGTTTAAAAAAAAACACATGCATGGTCGCTCTTGATAAATTTTTAAATAAATAACAATAGCATTGCACAGAGATTATTTGTTCACATATGACAGTAGTGTTCTTTATTTGAGCTGCATAATGATATTAATCAAGTTAATATGATAAAGATAGTACAATATGTTTTCTTTCTGTTGCAGATGCTGCAGTTACGAATGTGCAACGGAGACCAGAATATGGAACTACTGTGCAAGATGCCTGAAATATGTCCCTAAAATATCTGGGAATGTGTCTAGCAGAAGGACTATTTTTTAAAATAAAATTAAGTATTCAGTTTGTGTTTGTTTTAAATTGTAAGATGCATATGTGAGCAACTTGTTATATAACTACTGTTTTATGTCACAAACATATTTTGTGTATGACACAACAATAAAGTTTCAGATTATCTATGCCTGGTAAGGTTAAAAGTTGTGGCTGTTCATCTTGTCAAGTCTTGTATTATAAATACCAGATTCAGAAGTGAGTGGTCTCCTTACCAGTATTACAGAAACAAAGGTAATGACTTATTTTCCACTTACAGCTAATTTCCTAATGCATGTAGAGTAAGACTTTGTTTAGCTTGCTTGCTATGTTTGTATAAACGTTAGCTCACGCATTGTAATTAGGATTAACATTTGCTAACAATATAGACAGGCATAGTTATTCTGTGTAAATTATATTTAAGTTTGATTGGACGTTATCCCAATAACAATTGTACAATATACAAATAAAGCAAGCAAGCTAACCAAAGCCTTACTTTACATGCATTAGGAAATTAGCTGTAATCATAAAATGTAGAGAAATATAAAAAGAGAAATATTCGAACAAGCAGAAATCTCATTGAAAATACACTGACAACGGTTCGACCATCATTCGACCTGATTTCAACATACACTGACCACAGTAAAAACAACATTCGACCTGATTTCAACATACACTGACCATAGTTCAACCAACATTCGACCTGATTTCAACATACACTGACCATAACTCAACCAACATTCGACCTGATTTCAACATACACTGACCAAAGTACAACCAACATTCGACCTGATTTCATCTTTTATTGACCATAGTACAACCAACATTCGACCTGATTTCAACTTTCTTTGACCACAGTTCAACCAGCAATCGACTTGTTTTCAACATACACCGACCAAATTTAGACCAAAATTCAACCTATTTTCAACGTTGGGAGCTGACGTTGAATCAACGTTATGTTTTCAACGTCATATCAATTTTCAATCCAACACTTCTTTTCAACATTGATTCAACGTTGAAATCTGACGTTTATTCAATGTTGAATCAACGTTGTTGTGCCTGATGGGTAATATCTATGAATTTGGTCAACTGTTTAACTCACCACATATTGTAATATTAGATAAACTATGTAAATTTGTCAAAGTTATGTGAAAGTCAGTCCTCCAAATTAATTTAATTGTATCGATCACACATGCATATAATGATTGTATCTTATAGTTATGTGTATGTATGTTCTCTATAACTAGTAATTGAAGTTATATGAGAAATAATGTATTCGTATTCCTTTAAACTATAAATTACACGAAGACAGACTACCGTACGGGCAATATACAAGTGTATATGATACCATAAAGTACTTAATCCTGATCCTTCCTTGTAAATGGAAAAACTCTGGATTCTCTTTGATAGTGACACATGTGACATGAGAGATCATAAAAGACAAATCTAACAAAACTTTCAAAAGTGTTCGCGAAAATTGAAACGAAATAAAATATTATTTTGTAGACGAGTTACACATTAAAGCAGGAAATTTGACCGAATGAATGAAATAAACTGTAAAAAAAAATTCAGTGCACATCTTTCTAGCGGCGAAAAACACGCATATAGATGAAAAAGAATAAGTATATTAATAATTATTATGATGTCAATTTCATAAATTCAAGGATAATAACTATAAAACAATCTTAAACACGATTCGTGATTTCCCAGCTATATAGATTAAAACAGATTTATAATTTTAATTTTTAAATTAAATTCTGAAAAACACATGCATGGCTCTGATCCTTGGCAGTTCAGCGAACAATTTTACATGAAATGCACGATGCTTTTGATTGAAAACAAAGCTAAGAGATTCAAATTCTAAAATCAGCCGCTGGACGGTAGAGTTTCTATTAAACATTCAATTATAATTAAAGACTTTTGAATGGAAAAGTATGATAGAAATACCTTTAATTTATTGTAATTACATATAATGTTTTATCAAATGACATTTTTGTTAAACTGCTCCAGACATGGTTATTAGTAACCGTCAGTCCATAGCGATATGTCATAGCTCTGTTACAAATTCCGAAAAAAATAATAAAGGAAAAATTGTTGTTCCCTTGGAAAAATATCTTCCCATGGGAAAAATTAATGTTCCCATGGGAAGAATAAATGTTCCCAAGGGAAAAATGTGTTCCCATGGGAAGAAAAATAGTTCACTTGGGAACAAAAATTCCCTTGGGAAATTTAGAATTTCCCATGGGAAGAAACTATCTACTAATGTTCCCATGGGAAATTGTAGTTCCGATGGGAACTTTAAATTTTCCCATGGGAACTTCTAATGTTCCCATGGGAATTTTTAGATATCCCGTGGGAAATGTACTTTTAATCAGCTGTGGTGACAACAGTGACATGTTGGGACACATGGGGAAATTTAATTTTTTTGATTATCTATCACTTGGCCAAAAAATATTTGTGTTATCTTGTAAACCGACAAAGTCAGATTTGCCAATTCTGGAATTGCAAATTTGTCCCGCACAGTGTTAATGTATGGGGACAAGGCACAAGAGCAATCAGGATGTTTGGTTATTAAATGTAGCACGGTTGATTGTACAATTATTGCAACACCTTTACGTTAGATATTTGCTTATTTGTGATGTAAAGTTTAGCCTTAAAACTTTGACATTTAACTTACTGTATGTATACTTTATATTTATATATCAATATGATATTAATACTTACATACTATTAGGCTCTTTCCTAAAAAAAAAACCAGAACAACAATTGAATAATAAGAGATACTGCACATTATCATAAAATATTGAAAAACGAGGAGCAAAAAGATATATATAAGTTATAATATTTGCCACAAACCTATATTAACTATGAAATAAGTGAAATCGATATTGTATTAGATGATATAGTAGTTTGTTTGAACCATTTTTGTGAACTTTGATCTGTCCTATGACTCCTTTAACTCTCAAGTCTTAGTTTTTAGCAATGTAAGATAGAATGAATATATTTATGTTTATGTCAGATACTCAAATATAATATTATGTACCGTTGTTAATAATGTTATCGTATCCAAGTGAATATATTACACATCAGTATCCATGCAATAAGAAGATTTATTCAGTAAATTTATTTCTTTAAATTATATGAATATGGGTACTTACTCAGAAATTATTTCTGTCCTGAAATTTAGATCAATTAAAGTTAGCATTTTTTTAAATCAATACACATAAAAATAAATTTTAAACAATATAATAGACAAACATATATTTATATCCTGTTTTATATAATTATGGTCTATTGCAGTTATGCTAAGCTGTGTAATTGTACCATTTGTTGTGTCCATAACAAGTTACGTGTAAAAGTATTAAACTACAAAACATTAGGATATAACATTCTTCTCCTCGGTAGATGAATAAATATCTCTAAGTTTTCTCCTCATGCAAAGCTCTGGTCCTTGCCCGGTTTTGGCTGTACGTTTTGTCCGTTTTGGTTTTATCAGCTCTTTAATTTTTGAATATTTTTTTGTTTTTAGAATATTTTGGCCGCGAACATCAATGAAGAGACATTAATTGTCAAAATGCGCTAGTAGGGCAGTAAGATTAGTACTATTTATGTTATTATTCAAGTTTAAAAACTCTCATCAAACTTAGAATAAAAAAATATACTAGTAACCCATGTGGAAAAAATCAAAAACAACTTTGTAATCAATAACGAATAATGGAACAAGAAACAAATTTTTATATCCTTTGAGTCTACACAAAAACATGTTTTAATGCACACATTTCAAAATTTAACGTATGTGTAGACAAATCAGGTTCAAAAACATTGTAGTGAGACGAGATGTATCGCCAAAGTTAGAAAAGCAAGCGTCAACCATCATATAAAATAAGGAAATGTGGTTTGATTCTTGTCTTTCATTTTTGCTTATGTGCTATGTCTTTATGCCATTTTGTTTATCTCTGGTCACATAGTTGTGTGCTTTTAAAGTGTTTAAGATTAAAACAAAATGTTGACTGATGTACCCCAATTGTTGATTTTTTTTACCTATTATGCATGTTTGTTTTGCTTACACATTGTTGTCAATATAAGGAATTTCATTCGACTGTCATACAAGTGAAACGTCTACCTAGCTTTAAAATCGGGTTTAAACCATCATTTTCTACATAAGGAAATACATGTACCATGTCAGGAATATGACAGTTGTTTTCCTTTTATTTTATGCTTTTGAGCTCTTCTTGATTTTGTTATTTGGTAAGGGACTTTCTATTTTGAATTTTCCATTGAGTTCGGTATTTTTGATGTATTACTTTTGATTGCCAATGAAACAACTATCCCTCGTAGTTTAAATTAGGAAGATAAAACCCCCTTGTCGTTTAATTATTCTGTTTTAAGCCTTTAAACGTTTATATTAATATGTGTGTACTTATTGTCATAATACAAAATAGAAGCAAACAAATTGGACAATAAAAAAGGTCAAAGGGAATATAATGGGTTAAGAAACGGCAACCAAATGACACCAATAACCAACAGACATCTATATCCTAACATATGTTTGTCCTTCATCTAGATCCTAACATGTGTTCGTCTTTCATCTAGATCCTTACATGTGTTCGTCTTTCATCTAGATCCTTACCTGTGTTCGTCCTTCAAATTAAGACAAGCAGTAGTTTACCGCTGCCAAAATCCCTTTAATCGGTTAGGAAGACAAACCAAAGTAACAAAAAGGTTATCACATGACCTCCATAATGAAGCGTCGACGTAGTACCTGTCTCCTGCTATAATGCATCACCCGTCATGCGAGTCCACACTCAGTAAATATGTCACAATCGGTAAAATTACAGTTTAGACGACTATTCTGGTATACAAGGATCTAAGACTGCGATAACATGGCGCTATTGAATTAAGACACAGACATATAGAATCGGTCAACCCATTCGTGATGGTGATCGTAAAACCTCTGCAGTGTAGATTTTATAACATAGTTTGAACAGTTTTTGTGTAATGAGCACGCCCCAGCTAATGAAGATCTTAAAAAGAGTAAATACACGAGCGTATCAAAAGGGCGACGAAAGATACCAGAGGGACAGTCAAACTCATAGATCAAAAACAAACAGACAACGCCATGGCCAAAGATTAAAAGACAAACAGAATAATAATAGTACAGATGACACAAAATAGAAAACTAAAGACTAAGCAACATGAACCCCACCAAAAACTGGGGGTGATCTCAGATGCTCCGGAAGGGTAATCAGATTCTGCTCCACATGTGGCACCCGTCGTGTTGCTTATGGTATTACAAATCCGGTAAGTCACATTCGTGAAAAGGGAAGGGTATTGTAGTTACGACATAAGGAACATATCCGATATCATCTGTGATATCATCAATTGATATATGTCAAAGCCATACGATGCGACAGACAGGTGTCGAATTATAAAATAACAAGCTCTTAGTGGTCAGATATTATCACAACAATACTGTCAAAAGTTAAAAAAAGAAGTTTCATACACTCTTGATTTATAAATTCACCTAATCATGTTGGAATAGTTTTTGACCCAAGAACAGTCCGAATACATTAGTACATAATACGTATCTCCTTGTATATTACATCAACTTTAATGTGTAAATATTAGAGTCAGACGATAAACTACTGCCTAAGAATGAGACGTTGTTTTAAGAAAGTTGAATCAATGTGTCTGTCATTGACAATGAAGGTCATGCATTGATAGTCATCACTTCTTTAACATAAAAACAAATTTTGTTTGAAGCAAATACTTGCTTTGTTGTTAACCTTTATCTGTTTTTCAAATTAGAATTTCTTATTTAATGATTAACACAACTTGGTTTTATTTACTCGTCCGACAGAAAACTACATAACATCACACTTACCTGCATCCGTCGCATCTGTATCTGTATTGTTTAGCTGTTGTTGTAACTCTATAAAATATCATATTACAAGATTTAAATATTTCAAGAGAGATGTCAAACTTTTATAGCATCAGTTCAATCAACATTTTAACGTAACTTTTTAATTGATTATTCATCTTTAACTTTACTCGGACATTTTACCCTCATGTCAGTATTTTTCGCCACAATTGACTAATCTTTCAAGAAAGCCATTTGATTTCTTCAAGCTCTTTCCTGGACAAAGTTTAATCACGAATACTCAATGGCATAATATGTAGGACAGCCAAACTGAACGATATTTATATATACAAAAAAGAAGATGTGGTATGATTGCCAATGAGACAACTATTCATAAGAGACCAAATGACACAGAAATTAACAACATATATTTACATTGTTTATGTATGTCGTGAAACGCATCAGTCCAGTCAATCAAAAGTAAACCATATATATTTCAAACCAACTTCGCTAACATTAGTTGGAACAGTTGATTACGATCAAAAAGAAAACTTATGCATAATTCAAAATATTTCACGGTTATGCCAAACCATTGACTAGTTTCAAGGTTATGTCATATAATAATGTCATGTCTACTAGAGAGAAAAAAGTAAAATCACAAAAATACTGAACTCCGAGGAAAATTCAAAAAGGAAAGTCCCTAATCAAATGGCAAAATCAAAAGCTCAAACACATCGAACGAATGGATAACAACTGTCATATTCCTGACTTGGTACAGGCATTTTCTTATGTGAAAAATGGTGGATTGAACCTGGTTTTAAAGCTAGCTAAACCTCTCACTTGTATGGCAGTCGCATCAAATTCCATTATATTGACAATGATGTGTGAACAAAACGAAAAAAAAAAATAGGTAGAAATGTCACAAATAGGGGTAAATAGTCTAATTCGGTAGGTCACATTCGTGAAAAGGGAACGGGATTGTAGTTACGAGACAAGGAACATATCCGATATCATCTGTGAAACGGATATTCCATAACGGTCAACCAAATCGTGATGGCGTCCGTAAAATTTACAAAGTGATGGTTTCAACTTCATCATTTGGAACTCTTAGTTTAAAAATGAAAATCCACAATTGGGAAGCTCAAATAATCTCTTTTGTCGTAAAGTTTTGTTTTTAACCGACCCTCATAGTCAATTTCTAGATATAAGTCATAATCAAATGGCAAAACGTCTTCACATTTGCGTAACTTTGTATACTTTATGCGCGTTTTGATTACATTATACTCATTAGGTCCAATGGAATACAAACCATTAAACAGGTCCAATGGGATACAAACCATTTGGACCAACACAAATTACGGAGATGAAGAATAGTACAATTTATCATAAGTTGCGTTAAATTTTACTAAGGAAGACAAACTAAGTGTTTCAATTGATTTTGTCATTGTAGGAAAAGTCAATTCACATAAGATTTGAACATAGCAATGAGAACAATATAAACAAATGCGTTTTATGTTTATTAAAATACAAACCTGACGTTCTTCCTAGGTTTTAGGTTTGCTTCTATTTTGACATTTTCTCTGAAAAAAATAAATTATCTTGTCAATAATGATCATTCTTAAATTATACGTCAAAATTGTAACTTATCGTAAAATGAAATAAAACACTGTATTACTTAATTTAAACGTAGTGTTCAGATACCCCTAAATAACGCAAAATAAATTCCAAATTTGTATTAAAAGTACTGCATTGTTTTAATTGCCTTTTTCCATAATCCAGGCACAAAAGAGTAATTATAAAAAAAACAGTAATTTGAAATAGCGGGAACCTTCTCTGTGGTTGTTTTTAGGTATGTCCTGGTGAGTTTTGTTGTCTTATAACGGATATGGTAGTGTTTTGGTAGTAATTGTAATATTAAGCTTGTACAACCCTTGGATGGTGTAAACTTCCCAAAAAAATGTGTATGGTGTTATGGTGTATGACATATGGTGCAATGGTAGAAGGTGTATGGAGCTATGGTGTATAATGTAAGGGGAATGGTGTAATGGTGTTACGTGCGATCGGGAATGGTATGAATGAATGGTGTTTTCAAAACAATGTGCAGAATTCATGTTTGTTTCAAATGAAGAAATATTTGACATGAGCAAAGGTTTATCCTGTCCAGTACTACAGTGAGAGGTATATGTTACAGTACAAATCGGAAATCAATAGGATTCAGAAACGTCATAGTACAAATCGGAAATCATTAGGATTCAGACACGTCATAGTACAAATCGGAATTCAATTATCAACTAGTAGAAATTGGAATTCTGATTTATACCAATTAAAATCTGGTACAAATCAGAATTCCAACATCTACTGGTAGAAATACGGAATATCCAGATGTGTACTAGGCTGATCCTGAATTGTACTAGATGGTTACTTAAATTAAAGAAATATTTTGCTTTCTTTATCATGAAATAAGCTAAGATTACCAGACTTGTCTGATTTAAAAAGATACGAAAAAAGTATAACAAAAATACCGACCTCCAAAGTATATTCAACAAGAGAGCAGTCTATAAAAACTGACAAAATCAAATGTTATCAACCTACGGAATATGTGAAAAACAAATGTCATATTCCTGACTTGACACAAGCATGTTCCGAAGAAAATGGTGGGTTAATCCTTTTTTATAGCAAGCTAAATGTCCCATATGCATAACAGTTGTTATAGTTCCATTATTGACAAAACTGTGTGAATATACATCAAAGAAATGCAACACTGCTGACCTAAAACTCCAAACAAGAGGAGGGTCAATATCTCGTGAATTTATTTCACAGCACAGCCTTGTTTCTAATAGTCCTTAAATCTTTTCTAAAATTCACAGCATCATTAGTTCAGATGAGGTTTTTTATGTTTTAACAATACTTTAGTGTACATGTATTTCAGAAGATTTGATCAAATTATAGAGACCTATGTATGCATGATTAAACACTTCAATTTTGTTAAATTTTCAATAATTATACGGACAATATTAACTAAAGCAAAACTTTTATTGGAAGTATTTGAAATTTTATCTGTCAGATAAAAATTAATTCATTTGTGTTAATGTCTTTTTTTGTTTGTTTGTTTGTTTTTTTGTTTTTTTTTTGTTGTGGTAACGTCATGCATCCTACCAGAAATTTAGAACAATCCATAATCATTCTAGTACAAATCTGAATATCCAATTTCTGTCAGTAGATATTGAAATTCTGATTTGTACTGGATTTTAATTAGACTAAGTATAATATAATTCCAATTTGTACTGTAAACATACACTGTTTTCTGCTCTTCTGGGCGGATTGTTGTGTCTTTGACACATTTCTCCATTTCAATTCTCAATTTTATATACCTTTGGTTCTATACAGTAAACGTATAAATGAACTAACTGTACAACTATTGATAATGCTGATAGTGTTAATCAACACTTCAATATTTAGAATATAACTAGGCATTGCATTATCACAAGTTTTATTTAATCTGGAAACTTGATAATCTGATATACAAATATAGAATTTAATTGGAAAAAAAGATCCGGAAGATGCCATTCTTATTCAACCCTTTATAATCGAAGAGAAAGTGACAAACCCCAGGGCAAAAAAACCCGAAATAACACATAAGACCAACAACAGTTTTCAAAACACGTCATACAAATCAATAACTAAGAACAAACTTACCCAAATATTAATTCTCCAAACAGTTTCTCTATTTCACTCTCTGCTGCTTTCTTTCTAGCATATTTGACTGATGGCATAACAGGAACCTGTATTTCTTCTATTTGATCGATTTGTGACTTTATTTGTTTTAGCTTTTGTAATAATTTCGTTGTATCTTTTATACCCTGTGTGTCTTGATAGAACTTCTGTTGCTCCTTTGCTTTATCCAAAGCTGTTTTTAATTCATTGCCAACAGACTCTAAGGTTTGGACATTCTTTGTGTCCTTCTTTTTCACTGTTATAATAAGACCTTCAACTGTCTCATCAATCATTTCTTTTAATTTTCTGCCTACTTCTCTTATAGCGTGGATGACTCCATTAACATCGGTCTTATATTGATTTGAACCTTGGTCAATATCTGCTATATTTGACTGTAGGTTTCTCATCTTCATGTCGATTACCATTTTCACTTCAGCTTTGATCCCTTCAGTTGATTCCTTGATTTCAGCAAAATCATGTGATTTGTGCTTTTTAATCACACATATTTTGCATATCGGCGTACTACATTCCATGCAGTAATATATAAAGTTTTCATCATGTTCTTTACAATATTGTTTAACTTCCGGGTTTATATTTGGGCCACTTAGAAATGTGTGATCCTTGGTCATCTTTGTACGTAAATGTGATATTTTACATCCATCACAAAACAGCTGGTCACACTGTTCACAATAGTTATGTCCAGGTCCTGAAACACAAATTTCACACGTCTTAGAAGCAGCTTGAGCCATTTTGATTTGTTTTGTTTGCAAGTTGTTATGACAAGGTATATTTAAATCCCTGTCGTATACGGAAAATGAATAACTTTCCGGATCATAAATGAATTTTTGTTAAACTAAAGGTAGAATTTTAGCTTGTCTTATCACTGATCAGTATTGTATTTTATACAGGGAATACTATTTCAAAGTCTAATTGTAGTCAATACACACCGTTGTAAATGAAACGTTCACTTCAGTCTCATAATTTAATATATAAGCAACACATAGTTGTTACTCAATGTTTTGATATGCGTTTAATAGTAAGATTTTAATTGATATATTTGGACTCAGGCTACATGAGAAATTAGGCACTGGTTTTAAATTTTGACTAATTGATGAAATTTTGTCGCTCTATTTACTCCACATCTCTTTTGATTCATAGTAATTTTTGAAGATCGTGTAATTTACAGTGTGAGATAAAGGAAGTACAAAAGCAATTTATTGTCATACGTATATATAATGTCGCTTATGAAGTTAATATCTCAGATTAAACATGTTAAAAAAACGACATAAAATTGTCCTTTTTAATCAAAATTTGACCGACTTCAACTATGTTTTTGTTACTTTAATGACTTAAAATAGTTAAACTCCAATAGTCAGATATAAATAGTTGTTAAACAGTTTATTTACAGAGGTCAACAACATTGAATATCTTGATCTATTTAACTTCTCCATTATGTGTACCTGTTAAAGGGATGATAAAGTAAATTGATTAACGACGAAAACATATTTAAAACATATCAGGCGATACACTAGACAGATATAAATAGGTGTATGTAACAGGTCATACCGGTGTTTTACAAGTTAAGGCATATATCAAGAATCCAATATATGTAACTGTTAAGTGGTAAATTATGGCGACAGTAGTTCAACGATTTTCATATCTCTTATACATCGAGTAGGAAGAGACAAATCAGGGTAAAACAAAACCTAAGTGAATCGCATAAGCTCTAATAATACAAAAGGATAATATAGGTGAATGGTAAATTGACAAATGACGCGAACAAAATGACCAACCTTTGTAGTTTGAAATGGACCAACAAAGCAATGAGTTGTAGTTATATAATTATGTTATATATCAGGATATCTGGTTATCTGCATTTCTTTTTTTTACTTTTTTTTTTGTGACTTATACATTTTTTATTGCACATTATTGCTGTTAACAATTTACTAAGTGTACAGCATTGCTCTAAGTATTTCTGATATATTAGTTATTAGGTATTCAGGGAGAATATCTAATAAAAGTTAATTATAAAATTCAATTGATATATTACTTTACAATGTGGTCCATTTCTATCCGATAATGGTTTTTCGTATTAGTTAATTTATTCAGCGTGTTTGCCATCATCAGCTTTGATTTAATGTTCTGGATAATTTGAATATCTACGGAATATAATATATAGACAAATTGTCATTAATAAAAAGGTAAGTTAACCATAATCTTCTTGATTTTTGTAGCATAAGCTAAGTTTACACTTATTTGAACTTTGAGGTAAGCATTTGTTTGTAAAGTTCTAAATAAAATATATAAAATACTCAGGTTGACATGATTATGCACAACATCAGAATATACAACACAAAGTTACAAAAAAAAGAAAATAAGTGTATGTTTTATACGATATTGTATATTTTAAGCATGTGTCAGGGGTAGGAAAGTACATATGAAAGTCTCCTGACGTGGTCGAGTCATGTGAGATCATGTTGGTTTGGTAATACATAAATAAATTTTAGTATGTTTAAAGTAAAAACGTTTATGATTGTTTTATGTAGATGAGGGTTTTTGTAATCAATTTGCTATTTTCTTTTAATTACATTATTAACTTCAAGTTATATACATTTTAATTCTGAGCTAGAAAACGAACTTACACCAACCGGTGTAGTCTTTGTTTCTTCACTTTGTGTTTCTAATTTAGTTAAAAATTAATTTGTATTTTAGCTACAGATGTTTTATACTGACAAAGTCGATGGCCAGAGCTACGTTTTTAATATGTTAACGTTGTTTTTGAGTAAACAGTGTACATACAATTTTTAAAATGCCATACAATCCTTTCTTTTTGTATTATCAATAGTATTCCATTTACTCATTTACTCGCTGATGGTGTAATAACACCATTGATTTTCCCCTATTTGTCTTTGTTTAATTGACATTTTTTCAAAAAAATGTGCAGAATTCATGTTTGTTTCAAATGAAGAAATATTTGACATGAGCAAAGGTTTATCCTGTCCAGTACTACAGTGAAAATATCACATAACATTTCATTGCATATAAGATAATACCCATCATTATTGGAAGTAAACCAATCAAATTTTCGACCTTTTTTTCTTGTTAACAAGCTTTAGCAACCATCTCACCTGAAATTTCCAAAATATTTTATAGGAACAGCAAATAAAAAAAGAATGTTGCTTTGAAACCTCCACGGTATATGCTTATGACTCAGATTTTTTTTCTGCAATGATCAGGTTAATTTCCTATAACTGTCAACTTCAAGCGACTATTTTTTCGACCCTTTTTTCGTATGAAACCGGATATGAAGTACTATGATTTGGTGGTTCACCTGATGAGTCTTTTGTAGACGAAACGCGCGTCTGGTGTACACAAATTTAATCCTGGTATCTATGATGAGTTTATCTACATGAGACATGAATAATCAGTCAAATTAAATGGACAGTAGTTTACCGATATTCAAAACGATTCAATGGAAACAAATATTTCGTTATGATATGTAAGGCACATCAAAAAGATTTTTAAATGATTTGTGGCGTTGATACATTCGTGTGACGCACAGTTCATAATTCCATTGTGGTGTAAATGGGAAGTGTCCATTGTTATTCTGTGGTATATTTATTTATGTATGTCTCTGTTCTGAGTGTCCTTGCGTTTAGTTGTAATGTATTCCTGTCACGTAATGTTGTCATTTTAGCGGTATTTTTAACATTGTCATATAAGCGGGAGGTTTAGCTAGCCATTAAACCAGGTTCAACCCACCATTTTTGTCTTAAAATGTCCTGTTCCAAGTCAGGAATATGGCAGTTGTTATCAAATAGTCAGTTTCTATGTATGTTGGCGTTTGTTTTTGTAGCAGTTCAGTGTTTATGCTGTTTCGTTGTTTTCCTCTTATAGTTGATGAGTTTCCCTTGGTTTTGGTTTGTGACCCGGATTTGTTTCGGTCAAATCGATTAATGACTATTGAACAGAGGTATACTAATGTTGCCTTTATTTATATCATTTATAAATACATGTATCCAAAATATGAATGATTCTGAAAGTCAGATAATCGTTCAAATGGAATTTGAAATTTGAAAGTCAACTAATTAATCAGCAGTACACATTTAAAAAAAAGTAAAATCATAGTCATGAACCCATCTCTTAAAAATAAAGAAAACAATACTCTCCTTTTTTTCCTAAAACAACATTAAAAATGCATCAATGCATAGTAAAATATGTAAACACATTTATTTAAAAACCAGTTGTTGGCATGACACGGGTTATGTTCTTCTCATATATGTTATGATGGTATGATACTAAACCCCTAACGGGAAGGATTGTACCTGATATTCATATGATGAAGACATAATCTTTCAATCAGTTTAATTGAAGTCTGGAGCTGGCATGTCAGTTAACTGCTAGTAGTCTGTTGTTATTTATGTATTATTGTCATTTTGTTTATTTTCTTTGGTTACATCTTCTGACATCAGACTCGGACTTCTCTTGAACTGAATTTTAATGTGCGTATTGTTATGCGTTTACTTTTCTACATTGGCTAGAGGTATAGGGGGAGGGTTGAGATCTCATAAACATGTTTAACCCCGCCGCATTTTTGCGCCTGTCCCAAGTCAGGAGCCTCTAGCCTTTGTTAGTCTTGTATTATTTTTGGTTTTAGTTTCTTGTGTACAATTTGGAGTTTAGTATGGCGTTCATTATCACTGAACTAGTATATATATTTGTTTAAGGGCCAGCTGAAGGATGCCTCCGGGTGCGGGAATTTCTCGCTGCATTGAAGACCTGTTGGTGACCTTCTGCTGTTGTCTGTTCTATGGTCGGGTTGTTGCCTCTTTGACACATTCCCCATTTCCATTCTCAATTTTAGATGAAGAAGTTACAATTTAAATAATGATATATATATATATATATATATATATATATAGAAGTCTATAAAAAGGACCAACCAGCAAATTTACTATGTACCGGATCGTCTAGAATAGATGATACTGTGCAGATAAGGAAAAAATTATATAAGTCTAGAGATTTGCACAACGATACTAATAAAAGATGGTATTATACGAAGATGTTGTTAATAAATCGTGTTGACAAATATTTCGGCTTAACAAATAGCCTTCTTCAGTGTCAATTATTTTAACAATACTGATTATATGTATAAAAATAGCTCAATAATACAGGTAAGTTTTGGTCTAATGAATTAATCCAAAATCCTGAACATTATAATATAAAACAAAACTCAATACTCAAATATACGTGACTGTATATATTTACATCCCAAAATGAGTGGAAAATAAAACTTAGTATTTTTTATTGATGCCGTTTGGATGATTTACATTTAGTTCCTTTATCCAAAAGCTTTCCCGAACCTGTCGCTGGGCATCACTCCAGTGAATGTTCTGCTCAATCACTAGGATCTTTATGCGGTTAAAGTCATCAAGTTTGTGACCAGACTGTCTGAAATGCTGAGAAACTGGGAGAAGTGGCTTCTTAGAGATATCACTCCTATGGCCATTGAGGCGTTTGTGGAAAGGCTGCTTTGACTCACCAACATATTGGAGGCCACAAACCGAACATTCTAGAAGGTAAATAACATTCATACTTTTGCACTTAACATTGCAAAATATCTTATAGTTATTTTCGGTTGCCTTACTGCGAAAAGTTGATGAGTGATGCATCTGTAGGCAGCATTTGCAGCGTTTTTCATCATATATATACAACTCGTCTAAACATCAGCCCGATGGATAAATCTGTTGTAGAGTTGTCACTGGTTCAGACGTACTTATATATATATATATATATTTA